TCTCAACGTGTCGGGTAAATTATACCAAACCATTAGTAGATAAGAATGGTTGATTTCATAAACATTACCCCCGACCCGACGCGATGACCCGATTATTCGATGTAAGCCCATGCGATAACATTGTCGAAGAAATTGTCTGGAAGCATTAATATAAGATTGACAGTGTACTACGAACATGGGAATAGACGTCCTTTGTCATGAAAGTTCATCTGTATTCGTAATATCCATTGTGAACTGTAAGGGGTTTGGAATCATCATAACGATTGGAAATTTTCCAATCGTTATGATGATTCCAAACAATGGAAATTGACATAATACTGTTGAAAATAAAATGCAGTAGACGCAGAAATGTCATTATGGGACTACAGACGTGTGATATGAAAAATTTGAGCCACTTCTCGTCATATTTCAAATATGGGGACATTTGGAGAGCTACAATTACCGTTCTCAGTGGACTATCAATGAAGTACTTCCCATGCAACTGACATATGAGAAGAAAGAGAAAACCCATGGAACCTAATCGGCTTGGGTTCCGTGTGCGCCCTATTTTATGCGAGTGCGTAGGCGGGCGTTGTCTAGTTTATAAAAGAAGACGCGTCGCTGCCGGCATACTGAAATTTGAAAATGCAAAATCTTTTTTTGTAGAAGTAATATTTTAAGCTGTTACTTTGAAAAAGTATAGCCACATGGAACCCCTCACGTCAAGCATGTCAAGACCGTACCATTTCTTGTGTAGCACTACATAAACATGATAAATTTTAACTATTTGACTAATAATCGCAAGTCAAAATTAATGTGTCAAACGATTCATGATTTTGTCTTAATTTACCAGAAACTGCCACCTTCAACCGTACTACTCCAATAAACAGAAAAGCCATAGCCACCATCACCACAACCACTTATATCACCACTCCCCTCACCAATACCATCACCACTACCACTACCACTACCGCCATCTACGTCGCTGACTTTGATGTCGTCCTGATAGAAACGGCAGAATAAATCTAGCCTTTGCACCTGACCATCAGATTTGCAGGTACTCTCGTCCATCCTTCTGAAAATTTCGTAGTCAACCGTTTGGGCTAGGGAGATGAGAAGGTGATGGAGGGGTGGATGGATGGAGGGTATGTGGTATGGAGGAAGGGGGTGGTGGGGTGGATGGATGGAGGGTACGTGGTATGGAGGAAGGGGGTGGTGGGGTGGATGGATGGAGGGTACGTGGTATGGAGGAAGGGGGTGGTGGGGTGGATGGATGGAGGGTACGTGGTATGGAACACTCTAAAAAAAAAAACTGCTCAATTTGAGTCAAAATGTTACTCTTTTGGGTGGTCAAAAGGAAACCACCCGACTTTTGAGTAAACTTTACTCAGCATGTGTTGAGTAACAAATCTACCCATCTGTTGAGTAAAAATATTACTCAATAAAAGACTAAATCTCTACTTAGTTTGAATGAGTCAACCTTTACTCAATATTTACTCTTTGTTTAGCGGTTTCCTTTTTTACTCAGTACTGGGTAGAAACGTAATCAACTCATGTCGAGTAAGAAACTGCTCATGAGTTGAGCCAAATTTTACTCAATTAACGAGTACATGTTTTGACTCAAATTGTTTGAGCGATTTTTTTGCTCAAATATTGAGTATGTTTTCTGGGTAACGCTTAGTTGCTCAATCAATATTGAGTAAAAACATGTACTAAGTTAAGTACATGTTTTTACTCCATTAGGGGTGCAAACCGATGCAATAGCAGCACCTTTAGGGGTTCAATCCTGCACCCTTTAAAAGGTGCAATCCTGCACCCATCATCGAGGAATACTGGTAAAATTTGCTCGTACACAAATACATATTAAACATGCATGATGTTTCTTGGTTAGTAATCATATAATCAATATATCTATTGCTAAAACGTGAATGTAATTGTAACATGATCAGACAAAATAATATATTGGTTAATGATTGCCAAAGGAAAATACAAATCAAAAAATTGATGTGCATTGTCATAATTTGCTTAACAAATCATGATAAATGTATTTTTATGTGAACACGTGGAAAGTAATCATGAATATGCATGCAATATGCAAACTTTTATTTTGCACCCTCTTTTGGTCGATAGGGTTCATTTTTGTGGGAAGGGTGCAAAATCTTATATTGCACCCTTTTTTTAACCCCTTTTCCTTCAATAGGGTTCATTTTTATGTAAAGGGTGCAAACTCTTATTTTGCACCCTTTTTTGCACCCTTTTTTCTAACACCCCATTCACAGTGGCCTCAAACACCGCGACAGCAGCGGGACTGTCCCGCTGCTGTCGCGGTGTTGTCTTCAGTGTGAAGGCTCGGACCCGTTATAAACTATCGCGGGATAACACCGCCTCGCGATAACGCCGCGACAAACTATCGCTAGGCTCGCCTAGCTACAGCAGCGGGACAGTCCCGCTGCTGTCGCGGTGTTTACTCAGTGTGAAGGCTCTCCGCTATAACACCGCGACAAACACGTGTGATTTGTTTACTTACCTATCACTGACCTCTTTTCTCCAGCAATGGGGAACATAAAGTGAAATAGAAATAAAGTAACCAGTGGATTCAAATTGATTTTATTATTATGTAGATTTATGATTATCCAAATAAAAATATTTCACACTTCAAAAAATTAAAATATTCTGACTGGAAGCAACAAAAATGCTAGTTTTTTAAAAAGTAATATGATCGAGGATACAAAAAGCAACTTGACATGTTTACCCTAAAACCCCGCGCTGAAGTATTTCCGGTCATATCGGGGTCACTCGCGGGTCATGAGCCATGCATACACGTGTTTGTTACGGAGGTAATAAAAATCACCCGCTGCAGCGTGAATGGGTACATGATATTTATCCCGCTGCTGCAGCGGGATAACTTTTCTACTGTGAATGCATTTGTAGCGGTGTTATGGCGGTGTCGCCGCTCCGCTACAACGCCGCTACAAATTTCAAAACCACTGTGAATGGGGTAACAGAGTGTATCTCAGTTCTTTCGCATCTTTCTGCACGCGCACGTGCATGCACGAGACATGCACATGACGGACAATGAAAGAGTACAACATATCCAGTTCCTTAGGTAGACAAAGGAACATACAGCTGCTATTATGTAAAAATGTGTAGAACAGGTGTCACATGCATATTGACAGCTAGTTGCACTTTCCATCGATCCAACTTTCACTCGCACCCGAGGTAAATTCGGGTAAGAGATCAATGTTGATTTATTTATCA